GGTCTACATTGCTAACTTGGGATCATTATATAGATGTTTGTAAGGTTGTTTTTGATGAACTGGTCTACATTGCTAACTTGGGATCATTATAAAGATGTTTGTAAGGTTGTTTTTGATGAACTGGTCTACATTGCTAACTTGGGATCATTATATAGATGTTTGTAAGGTTGTTTTTGATGAACTGGTCTACATTGCTAACTTGGGATCATTATAAAGATGTTTGTAAGGTTGTTTTTGATGAACTGGTCTACATTGCTAACTTGGGATCATTACAAAGATGTTTGTAAGGTTGTTTTTGATGAACTGGTCAACATTGCTAACTTGGGATCATTATAAAGATGTTTGTAAGGTTGTTTTTGATGAAACGGATTACACTGCTAGTTTGGAAAGTACCTTTAAATGAAGTATTAATAAAATGCACCACTTTTACTTCATCTATAAAATTACAAGTCCAAGGTATAACCACAGCTATACGGGTTCTACAATTCGTTGTTTGAATTCAAGGATTAAAAAAGCATGAGCAAAATACCATATTTGCCCCAATATAATACATACTTTTTTATCCTCCAAATACCTCCTAAAAACTGACTGCACATTATATTAGAGCACGGTCAATCTTGTCAGGTATTATACTAGAAGCTACCACTGAAAATCATTAAAGTATCATTAAAGGTTTCAAAAGATGTTGCATATTCAATGGGATGGATGATGACATGCTGTGAGAATCAGAAGAGCATGAAGCAAATCTGATGGTAGCAACAATTCTAGCGATGATGAAGATTTACGTGAAGATGAATGATTAGCTTAGTGTATTTCCACCTATAAACTTTTCAATAAATTTTGTAAAATTGATACATAAAAAATTTAAATGAAAGATTTACAAGAATATTTAATACATTGATAATTGTTTACTGAATTTGGAAACTATTCAATACATTCTGTACAACTTATTTGTAAAAAAAAAACAAATTTTCTTCAATTTAACCGTTCAAAATTGTGTGCACATTATAGTTGGGCAAATATGGTATTCCGTATGATCAGACAACTATTCTTTGACATGATTTAAAAAACAGACATTTTTCCTACTGCCCGAGATTTCAGTATTGTGGGGAATGCTTCACTTTATAGATACACAAGCCTAGGGTTGAGTTCTCAATAGTGAATATAACATCCTAGTAAAAAATCAGCCTTATATGTTTAGAGTTAAAAATGACCTAACCTTGTTTAAGCATGTCAAACTTGGTAACTTCACTGTCCAGAGACGACGAACTCAGAGATGGGCCTGCTACTGCCAGTGTTTCTGTAATTTCTTGAGGTTCTTTTAAATAAGAGTATGGAAGAGGTTAGGACAAAATAGAACAAAATTTTCAATATCCTTGATTGAGACAATACAATTAATGAGATTATTTTTGTTTTTTATAACATATTTCATTAAAAACTTACATATATTCAACATTTACCAGTTTGTAGTTGATTAACGCTAACTTTTACCTGACATTAGCAAGAGACAAAGAAAAGTAAATTCTACAACAGTTATACCATAGTAAAGAATAACACTACATAAACATTTTCTGAAAAGCCCTAAAAATTGGTGTGTTTAATATTCATAAATAATAATTCAAACACACTAGTATATGAACAAGTTGTGGAAAGTATTCATGGACTGATACATGGTCAAGTTGTGGAAAGTATTCATGGACTGATACATGGTCAAGTTGTGGAAAGTATTCATGGACTGATACATGGTCAAGCTGTGGAAAGTATTCATGGACTGATACATGGTCAAGCTGTGGAAAGTATTCATGGACTGATACATAGTCAAGCTGTGGAAAGTATTCACAGTCTGGTCATGAGTGGAAAGTGCCCAGAAACAATTATTTCCAGGAAAAGTTGATACAAAACTGATTGCATATTTACATGAAATAACTACTACATAAGAATTAAATTAACTTGAAACAGTTGTACTAGTAACAGATAACATCTACAAACTGAAACAGTTGTACTAGTAACAGCTAACATCTACAAACTGAAACAGTTGTACTAGTAACAGCTAACATCTACAAACTGAAACAGTTGTACTAGTAACAGCTAACATCTACAAACTGAAAC